TTCCCCAATACTAACAACCATAGGATGTCGTACTCCTAATCTAGCCTCCTTATGAACCGGTGGAGACTTGTTAGGTTTAAGTCCCTCATAGAACAAGTAGAACACTCTCAAATCAACCATGAGACAAGGGCTACCTCCTGATTCCAACAGTCGGTGCCAAGGCTAGTTCTCAATTCCAACGGTCACTGCCAATACCACATGAATTTAAATCAATCTACTCCTCTCCCTAAGCGAACTCCCATCAATGATCATGCTATATACATTTATCACATATTATGTATTTCAATAATGAATTTATGGCAACCAAATCTCACATATTCATTTTAAATCACTCCAAACATTCAACATATTATATATATCACAAATCTTTCCTTTTGTAACAACGTGCCACCAATAAACTTTTAAATCACAAGTAAATGGCATAGTCAACATTTTCTTTCCTAAAATTATTTCACAAGTCAACCACCACCAGCACATATCATACATTTAAATTATTAATTATATTTCACAAACACAATTAATATTTAACCATAAAAGTTAAGTTTCTCCCAGTTACCTCAAACCTTTAAGAGGTCAAAAGTTTACCTCTCACTATACCAACTTTTTAAAACTTTAACAAGCTTGAATAGTTCCAAAAAACAAACCTCACTACATCCATACACACTCTATTTTTATCAACTCATAGTCACTACCCATTCATATCCAATGGACTCATTAAATTTCATTAATATACATTATCACTAACAATACTTCAAACCATCATTAATACCCATTAACCTCTCCTAACTATCATATTTATGTTAATTTTTAGCTAATAAATGCTTCCGTAGACCAACCACTTTCAAAATCATCAATGTAGAATTTTGATACATTAAACAACTCCCATTATAGTCATTTTAACTAAGGGAATCGGAACCATACTCTTATGGACTGAAAATTCATCTTTCAACTCAAACCCTACCATAACTCATCTCAAATACGGGAGAGAAAGGAAAAATAAGGCACCATAAACTTATCTTGAATGTTAGGGAGCTTCAATCTAACCTCAATGTGATCTCACAATGTGCCTTAACAGAGGAAAAGAAGAGCTCTTTAGTTTCTTCTTCCTCTTTTCTATTTTCTTACGCTGATACAAATCTGATATATCAGATTTTTGGCCGTGCATCACGGCTCACGCTGCCCTCCGCCGTGACGCATGGCATATAAGAGCTCATTATTCAAATTCATCTCTGTGTATCACAACGGACCAACCACGTGCCATGGTGTGTGGCACAGAGAACAATTCTTCATCTTTTTTCTTCCTCTTTCCTTGCCCAGGTGGCCCACCATTGATCCGAACCCACTTTTAAGGCTGAAATCACAACAATTATGCCAAGTTAAGCCTCTCTAGCCATACACCTCATTAACTCACTAATTACCCTCATTAAGTTAATAAACCAGGCTTAAATTTTCCCAGATGTTACAAAATGAATGGAAAAATGAATGCTGAAAATGAAATTAGGGTAATTTGATTCAGGTCTAAGGTGAAAGGGCCTAACTTTAATGTTTAGTATATGGGTAAAAAATGACCTGGGATAATTTTATTCTTTACCATGGTAAAATGGACAAAAATTCAGATGAAAATGGTCTAGAAATTGAATTAAATAAAGCTAAAGACAATGAAAAATTAAGAGAGAAAGTGAGTGGAATCAAAGTATGGTATAATATATACAAGACTATACAATGCTTGCATTTTCACCCTAAAACTCAAGTGTTTTGCCTCTTAACTCATCTATTATTCCAATCCAATGGTCTTAATGTGCCAAATCCAAGGGGTACAAACCTACATAAATAAGTGTGATACATAAGATTAAAGTACAAAGTGTATGGATAATAATTGCACTTCCAATTAAAATTAATTTCCAAAATGTGGCACAATATAAATTAAATAATAAAAGCCAATTATGACATCAAAAAGGGGCAAAAGGGTGTTCCAAATAGTTCAAAAATTATAAGCCCACACATGTACAAAAATGACCTAGCTCAAGTGTAAGAAAACAAGTTAGCTCAAAACTTTGACTTTCTAAAATTGTCACTTATAAAATTAATTACTCTCAATCTAAAATGAGTTTTAAATCTAATTGGACTATTGTTCTTCTAGACTAAAAATTGTTGAATAATTTTCTCAAACATTTTCTTGAAAGTCTATTTTTATGATCAAAATGCCCTTAGTGCATAAAATCTTACATTTGGGTGATTTTTCACAATCAATGCAATATGTGTGTAATTTGAACAAATATAACATGATTTTAAATCAATAATAACAAGGAAAAGTGTGTAATAAATGTGACTTATCACTAGCTCTGGTAAATAATTAAATTCTAGCTCAAAAACCCATTATAGTCTTCTAGAAACTTATCTACCCTAAAATTATGGCCATTGATAAACGATTCATATTTTGTGAAATAGCCATTAGCGAGTTCATAGTAAAGGAAATCAAACTCAAACTTTTCTTTAATTTCCTTGGTAATTAGCTTACGATAAAGGAGTTTAGCCTTTGTAACTTGCCTTATAGGCACGTTACTTCTATATGTCTTCACAAGTCTATGCCTATATGAGTACATTTTTCATCCATCATTACCTATTTACCTTTCCTAAGTGTTTTGTCCTTCTTAATAGGCTATATGGAGGAAGTACTCATAACTTCAATCATTTCCTTAGTTCTTTTCCTCTTCCTGGATGATTCATCTCCCTTTTTCGGACCATTAGCCTTGGTTATTGTCATATTCACTATCACAAAAGCTTTTATGATTTCTCAATGATGTGGGCTAGATCATAGATTATAGGTAGTTTAGAAGGATTTTGAGTAGAAGAGAATGGTTTAGAGATGATGGGTAAAGGATTTTGAATGAAAGAAAGCACAAATTTGGCTCTATAAGAGAAGTTTAGAGAGAGAAAGCATAACAGCTAGTCCTATAATCATTAAGGAACATGTATAAATAAGAGAGGAACAAGCAAGAGACGCATATGTAGACATGCTTACTAACATATTTCATTATTTGCACACATTTTTGGATAATTTTCTTGCATATTGTATTCTTGGAAACTCAATTATTGCATAATTACGCATTTGTACGCTTTTAGAATCAATTAGAGCTCATTCTTAGCTTAAGGATACTTTGGTCGTTTTGGCAATTTTTGGGACCTTTTGGAACTTGAACCTAGGGTATATCTTTGGTCTTCTTAAATGCAAAGACACAAGTTTAACCTTTTAATTCAGTACACATAATAGGAATACCAATTTGGTAACATGTGAGTGGCCTAATTTTAAGGTTGATTTCAGGCAAGAATCAGAAAAACTTGAGAGAAGCACTAACTATATGAAATGCATTAGTGAACATAGTGAAGTTAAGTAAGGAATGTGTTATGTAGAAACTACCCATATGGCTAAAATGATAAAAAATATTGGATTAACTAAAGGCATTGCTTACAGGATGTTGGTCAAGTTGAGAAGAATCATATTCTTTAGTGGAATTATGTAACCATAGGGGATCAATAGATGGGTTGAGAATGCAAAACATTAAGGGCCTGATTAGGAGGAGGATCATAACCATGTGATTTTATAAGTGAATAAGGAGGAAAGGGAAAAAAAACACTTGATACTAATAATCCTTATGTGAGGATTAGACTGTTATGGATTACTAAGACCTAGATGTGAAGGAGTAAGAAACATGATACACAAGAGGTTAGATCAAAGTGATGATACTTAACTTGTTGCACTCGAAAACGCGATGCGGATGGTGCAGGAGAGTGGAGGTTTCGGCCTTCAGAGCGAAAACTTGAGGAATGGGAGTTGCCACTAAAATTTTAAGGAAAATCTTGAAAAACCGTTTAAAAGAGGTAAGAATGGTTTGCAAAATCAGAAAATAGGTTCGGAAATCGATTGAGTATGGGGAAGGTGTTAGGCACCCCACAACATCCGTTTGTGAGAACGGTTACCTAAAGTTTGTTGTGCTAAATTAATATGACTTTAAAGTTCTTTTAGTTATCTCTTTATTATTCACATGTTTTAAAAAAATGACAATAATTAAGTGAAAAATATTTATTTATTTACAAGGGAGGGCTTAACTTAGAATCAGACTCTGAGGCCTGTATACCCTACGATGGGAATTAAAGTCCACATATTTGGGATTAAAAATTGTGGGTGAAAATTTTTTTTGAAGAGAAATTAATTATAAATAATCCACTATTTTGCAAATAAAAAAATTTTCTGAAATTCTAATAAATATGTTTTAAATTACAAAAATTAATTTAATTTAAATTATTTTCTTAATTTTTGAATTTTTGAAATAAAGAAAAGAAAAGAGTTTAAAAATTATTTTTTATGTTTTATTATTTTTGAAAAATTTAGCTGTTATACCTATAAAGCCTTATTAGCTCATATGATAATATAATTATTCTAAATATCTGTAAAGATCTTGAAATCTCTCACGATAAAAGAGTGAAATAATGTATATATTTTAAGCATATTTTAATGCATAATTATATAACATATTTTTAAACATAGAAATTTTAATCACTATACTTGCGAAACCTTATTAACTTACACGGTAAAACGATTATTATAAAGGTCTACAAATATTCAAAAATCTCATATGATCAAAAGATTGAATACCTTAATTTGATTAATTAATTTTATTAAAAACGTTTATAATTTTACTTACAAAAATCATTTATTTACTATATAAATTAATAATTGCAAAATATGTAATGATTTATTATCCCACACGATAATACAATTAATTTAATTCTCTATGAAAATTCTCAAAATCTCACATGAGACTTAAATATTTAATTAATTTAAATTATAAAAAAAATTAATTTTAATGATAGACCTTTAAAACTTATATTATCATATATAAAATTGATCTTCACACCTGCGAAATCTTATTGATTTTTATGATGTAGGATCATTTTAAATTTAAATGTTTACAGAGATTCTTAAAATCTCACACTGCAAATAGATTTAAATATTATACATTATTAAGAATTTTATAACCAACAAATAATTGTGAAGCTCACAATCAGAAATAATTTCAATGATAGTCTAAAACGTACAAAAAGAAAAAGAGAATCCCAAAATGCATAACTTGGTACAATGCCTCACAAAATAAATCATGTAATCTATACAAATTTTGAAATTCCCTAATTACTTCATTAATCCCACAGATTAAGCTTTGAAGAATGAACATGCAGAGATCGTTACCCATTTGAAACTGAGCTATTACTCTCTGCTTCATCACCTTTCATCTTCACCCTATTGTGTGCATAATCTAGCTTCCTCGAGTGCTCAATCAGTTGTTGCTTCTCCCTCTGAATCTTCAATCATTCAGCATCCTCTATCCTTATTCCTTGTTCGTTCTCTCGAGCTCAAATCTAGAAAATCACTCTCAATCCCAAATTCAATCTACCTTCCAGAAATTCCTTAAGCTCTTTCCTCTATTTTTCGTCCCCTCCCCATCTCTATCACTCTCTTACTTCAAAGTCTGTTTTGAAATCTCCTTCATCCTTGTCACTTCTCTCTCACTATCTATCTCTCTCTTTTGTTTCAGCCTTTTCTTTGTTTTTCTCTTGTTCTTCCTTTTTCTCTCACTCTGACCTCCAGAAGCAAATACTAAGTCCTCCTCCCTTTCTCCCCTTCACCGTGTCGGTTTTTATATGTAAGGTAGAATGAGATCCCCAATCCTGTTGCATGCAGCTCATCTCTTTGACTCCTACGCTTGCATCTGTGAGCTTCTCTTCTACCCTTTGCTTTGCGTGTAGCCAAGTCTGCTCTCTCTCTCTTTCTCTCTGTGTTTTCGTCTGCTGCGTATGTGCTGTGTTTCTGCTTTGTTTTTCTTTTCTTCTGCAACATGCATGTGTCTCTTCTACAAAGTGAAGCTTTTTTTGTTGCCTTCCTTTATGATTTCGTCCGCTTTTCTTCTGCTCTTTGCTTTATGTGTGGCCAATCTGCTCTCTCTCTCTCTCTCTCTCTGCGTTGCTGTGTTCGTGTGCTTTGTTTCTGTTCTTTTGCATCTGCTTTCTGCTTTCTCTGTTTTTCATCTATGCTATCTCTGTTCCGTGTGCATACTCTGCATTTTTGTTTCTTTGCACTGGAGACTGCGTTTGTCACTAAAGCTCAATTGCCATGCATGTGATGCTTTCCTTCCTTTTCTTTTTTTTTTATGTTATGTTTAATTAAAATTTTGAAAATTAGATTAAGAGAGAGACAAATAATTTTGAATTACGCAAGAATATCTTTTTCTTTTAATGGAAAGCAACAAGATTTAAGGAAATAAACTTTTTTTAAAAAAATAGTTGATTCTCACAAAGTAGATTCTCAATATTTTGAATGATTGGGATAATTTGGAAAAGATTTTAAAGGATTTAAACAAGATTTTTTTTCATTAGATTTTTTTTTTAAATATAATCCTAAAAAGGATTAAATTTTATTTTTATATTTTTATATTTTTTAGTTGAATTTATTTTTTTATTAAATGCAAAATATGCCCAGACAAAATACAAAGTTCACATAACTTAATAGAAAAATTCATATAAGATAGTTTAAACACGATAGAAACAATTGATCAGCGTAACGCAATAGAGATGCAATAGATCAATTGGGCTAATTAACAAATTTATGAGGATAGAATGATCACATTGAGATACAATATGGAAAATGATAAAAGTAGATTGTAAGTTAACTATGTTGTGAAACAAATTTTTAATATTAACCAATTGTTGGCTAGTATAGCTATATGACACTCTCTAAGGCCACAATTGAATGGCCTTAGTTTGTGATCAAATGTTTTAACCACGATCTTTCTACTTCAAACCCAATGGATTAGTCACTAGGAACTTGGATGATAAGCAGTTGTCTATATGTCAGACTTTATTGTCACTAATGATAAGGCAATAACTACTAAAATAAATGAAAGATGGTGAAGTTTAAACTATGAGGGAGTGCAATCATGAAGTAAAACATGTTTTAGATGACCTTGTATAAGGCATTATGGACAAGAATGTAAATCATTTGTGTTCGATTGATTTAAATGATTGAAGGGGCATTATTGGACTATAGATGGTAGATTAGACCACCTAAAAGATTGAGATAAGAGTGGAAAATGTAGTGGCTCCAATTAGATAGAGAGTTCTTATGATAGATAGAGAAGTCTATTAGAAATTTTGGTAGGTGTCTGTGTTCTAGAGGGTCATACCAATGAACAAGAATTAGGAGGTCAAGTTGAGGCATGGATTTAACTTCTAGATTTATTAGTCCATTATATATCTTGGAGAAGATTGAGTTGGTCATTTATCAAGTCATATTGCCACCTTGTTGCTTGGGACTCATTATGTGTCAAATCCATCTCCTATCATCAAACTATATGATATAGAGTTAAGAGAATATATATTTATAGAAATAGCTAGGGCTATTTTGGGCATTTTATAGAGATACCAAATTTGATTCCTCTACATCTCTTTCAAAATTGGAAGAAGGTTACGGGCCTTTTGGGAATTTCTCATGTCATTGCTAAAGTACAAGAATGGTCTGCATCTATGTTTCCCTTGATTATCCACTATGCAAAGCTAGGATTCATTATATTAGATAATGGAGGGAATTCATATTATCCATTGGTCTCTCCATGAAATCCAATATTGATGCCCACAAAAATTAAGAGACATCGCAAGTGTACGAGCCGCAATTGAAGCTAGTGGTAAATCAAGATTAATCTCTTAGGAAATTAATTAAAATGGCAATTAAGCATTGAAATTTTTAAATTCATTCACGTGAAGCTAATAAAACTAGATTGATTTTAGAACAATTAAAATGAAAATATTAAAAATGATCAATTAAAATAACTTTCAATCCACAAACAACTAAAGTTAACCAAAAGAATAGCATTCTAAAGTCCTAATCTCTTATTTGCTTTCTAACACTCTCATTATCACATTAATTGTCTCGAAATTCAATTTTGATAATTTTGAAATTTAAATTAATCCAAAGTTCTTCCGATCACTAAAGATCCTAATTAATTCAATTAAAGCAAATTATTACCTTAATTAATTAGTTATATTACAGACTCTAACTCATGAGGATTACCTAAGTCTATTAGATATATTCCTATTCTAATGAAAAATTAGCAAACTAATCCTAGGCTACTAGTTTTCAAGGTTCAATTTGAGTCTCCTCTTCTAAGGTTCAACTCAAATGCCCAAATCTCACCTAGTGGTGGCTAGTCACGAAACAAGAATAATATAGCTCAAGAATAAGTAATCAAAACTTCATTTCTCAACAACAAAATGGTAAATCCAAGGTTGTTTACACAAATAGGTTCATAGTCCTCTAAAACGAGAAGATTTAGCTACACATAACTAATATGAACACAAAAATAGCACAAAAAAGATTCAAAACTATCAGCATAAAGGAAAAGAAGAAAAAGCACTAAAAAAATGAGGTGAAATGAAAATTTGCTCCACTTCTTAATCCCAAGCTTTAAGAATTCCCCTCTTGCTTTCCTAAGGTTTTCTCTAAATGAACGATAAAAACAAGAGAGAGGGGGAAGGAAACTGACACTCCCTTAATAGAATGGAGAAATGTAAGTGATCTAAATGTAGAGAGAGAGGATAAAAACCTTGTAATCTACAGAATATCATGATGAGACATGGAACAAGGACATAAGATCTCATAATAATCTTTTTAATGTAAATAGAAAAGTTAAAGAAAATGCATAAATAGTCCTATAGTTATCCAAAAGAAAATTAATTAAGATACAAATTAAAGTCCTCCTGAATAGGACAAACTAAGGTGCCAGAGGCACTCATCACTCAATTGCCGCAACCATGTCCTGTAGTATAGAAACATCATGCTGAACTTGCTCTAAGCGCATTGTAAAATCATATAACATTTTGAGAACGCCCTCCTCAAATGGCACAGATGGCCCACTTGGCTCATCATTAGTAGGTGCCACCTCTTATTCTGTCACAACATTTAAATTCCTATCTTCAATGATTTCATTCCTAAGGGACTTCAACTTAAAAGGTTGTGGTACCTCCAATAAGTCAATAGGGAGCGATGTAACCTCCCAAAGACTAAATCATAAATTACTCTAAATCAGGATAATCTAAGATTTTACCCTCAAAGCATTACTAAATTGTAAAGTTTTACAAAAAGAATTTTTCAAATTCTTTTAAAAAATTCTCAATCTCGACAAATCAAATCTCAAACATAATTTAAGAAGCTCCAAATCAGAGTTTTAAAAACAAAATGAAAGCTTGAAAGAAAATCAATTGAGACTCAAAAAATAAGTTTTAAAATTCAAAAACAAATTTTGTGCAAAAAATGTCACGTGCATTACGACTTACAGCACATGCACCTAACATACGCCACGGCGCATTGTATGAAATTTGATGCTGTCATATGAAAGCACAGGGCACAAATTTCCAATATGTCCCAAATCTTAATATTGAGAATTGAGAATTGAGGGATGAGTACAACTACTCAATAACCAAGTTTCACTTAACTCATACAGTTGCATATTAATTATAAATAGATGCAATTAAGCAAATAAATATAATTAGCACATAACACTCAGCCACGATTCACAAAACTAATCACCATGTGATTGGGATTGCCACAAAATATTTTATCATATTATTTAGCAAAAATATATCACAGGGTGACAAAAATAATAACCATGCACTCTCAATACATGCCAAACCACAAAACTAGCAACCATGTGGCCAAATTTATATGCATGATTCTATGCCAACCTTATATCTTCCTGTTATCTCCGACACGAAACCGGTGGCTATCACGTAGCTACATCCTTTATGGACTAACCCAACCTTTCACTTGTGAGGAGCTACTAGGCCAAGGTGAACTCTCTCACTTATGTAATCCAGTTTTTCCCAATACTAATAATCATAAAGTGTCGTACCCCTAATCTAACCTCCTCATGAACCGGTGGAGACTAGTTAGGTTCGAGTCACTCATAAAACAAGTGGGGCAGTCTTAAATCAATCATGAGACAAGGGCTACCTTCCGATTTCAATAATCAATGCCACGATTAGTTCTCGATTCCAACGGTCACTGCCAAATTCCATGTAGATGTCAACCAATCTACTCCCCTCCCTAGGGAAACTCCCACCAATATCATGCTATGCATAATTCTCACATATTATGCATTAAAAAATAAATGTATGGCAATCAATCTCACATAACTCAATACTTCACAAGTCAACACATAATATATCACAATTCTCCACCCATAGTAATAAATCATAATCAATTTCACAAAACACCAAGGGCAGCAAAATCAAAGTTTTCTTTCTAAAAATCATTTCGCAAATCAACACTTTGCCAATATGCATCATCAATTTAACTCATAAATCATATTTCACGAACACAATTAACATTCAACTATAAAAATTAAGTTTTCCCCCGATTACGTCAAATCTTTGAGAGGTTAAAGGTTTACCCCTCACTATACCAACTTTTCAAAGCTTCAACAAGCTCGAATGGTGCCAAAAATGAACCTCTCTACATCCATACCACAAGAATTTTGTCATTGTCTAACTCATAAAGCTTTTTCAACATATAACTCTACACACTTTATTTTTGTCAACTCATAATCACTACCCATTCATACCAATTGGCTCGTAAAATTCTATTAATGCACCTTATCATTAATAATACCTTAAATCATCATTAATGTACATTAACATATCCCAACTACCATATTTATATTAATTTTTAGATAATAAAAGCTTCAATGGACCAATCATTTTCAAAATCATCAATATGATATCTCAATAAATTAAACAACTCTCATTATACTCATTTTAACCAATGAAATCAAACCCATACTCCTATAGACCGAAAATCCATCTCCCAAGTCAAACCCTACCACAAATCATCATAAATGAGGAAGAGAAAGGAAGAAGAGGACACCATAAACTTACCTTGAGTGTTTAAGAAATTTAAAATGTCAACAATGGAAGCCAATATGCGTGCCCTAACAGAGCCCAATGCTCTCTTCTTTTCCTTCTTTTCCTTCTCTTCTGTTTTTCTCGCACAGATGCGATTTGAATTATCAAAAATTTTGCCCCGCCCTGGCGCATGGCACAGAGGAGTCAGTTGCATTTAAATTTATCTTCGTGCGCCGTGGCGGACGAACTACGCGCCACGGCGTGTAACACAAAGAACAAACCTTCACTTTCCTTCCTCTTTCCTTACCCGGATGGCCTATCATTGATTCGAACCTACTTTTAGAGCTGAAATCACAACAATTATGTCAAGTTAAGCCCCTCTAGCAATACACCTCAATAACTCACCAATTACCCTCATCAGGTTAATAAACCAAGATTAAAATTTTCCAAATGTTACAAGCGATGGAACCCTTTATTACACACACAAGGAAGAAATGAGATGAGGATAAATTATTGTAAATTTTGTAGCTTGGTGTCCTAGATCATAGCTTGTATTGCCGAAACCAAATTGGAGTAGATGATGGATATTAGGTCTACCAATTTCTTTGTCATAATACAATAAATTAGCACAGCTCTTACCTTTGAGATTTCATGAACATGTGAGTAGGCAAGACATTATGAATGACAAAATAATTCCAAAACTTAACAACCTCATGTAAGTCTGAATGGTGAAGTCCCTAATTCCATTTAACCTCAAGCTCTTAGTAATCAACTCATAAGGGCAGGTTGACTTGTCCTTCATTAACTCTTGGCAGCGACAAGAGTCAATTATTGGAAGATCATAAAAAGTCCTTATGGAATCCATAGTGAAATGAATAAATTTTCCTCGCACATAAGATCTACCCTCTAGATAGAATTGGCAAAGAACTCACACACCAAAGATAGTAATCAATTTTTGGAGGGAAGCAAAGTAATTTTCATTGGTTATCTTGAATAATCTCAAAACCTGGTGCGGATCATCATAAGGGAATGTGCGTTCTTGGATGAGGCAATTGTTAGAGAAACTTTTTACATATCTAAGCTTAGCCACTAGTGCACAAAAGGTATCAGTGAGCCATGGCATAGGTTGATTATCAGCCGAAGGTGGGGAGTCTTCATAATCAAGAGCAGAAGCATGTGACTTAGCAGATCGCTTGGTGTGAAATGAAGTGGCCTTTAATGAAGCTTTGCATTTGGTGGTCTTTTGTTTGTTGGGAGGTGCCATTATGTAACTATAAGAAACTAACCAACATATAAAACAAAGTAATACAAACATATAAATTTGGTCACAAGAAGTGGAAGAAAGTCAACAATCCACTTGAAGCAATTAGCTAAAAGAAAGCACGGTAGGGAGAGAAAAAAAGAAACTCCCTTAACTTTTGATGTAAAAACCAAGCTAGATAATGGAAAATTCAGAACTACTTGAAAGAGTCATATCATCAACAGTAGTGTTTCATAACTCAAAGCTTTAGAAATAAACCCCAATGAACTTCATCAATAAAGTTCATAATAATCTTGAGTAAGATAAAAAATAACTCCAGCCAAATGAGAGAATGTTGAAGTATATCACAGTCATACAGTCAGAAATCTAAGAGCAACATGTCTAAGAAACACAGTAAAGACATGCTAAAAAGAAAAAAAATTAATTCAAGCTACACCAAGCACAGAAATAAGATCATAAGCAATTATTGACATATAGAACCCATTTGATCAGGGAAATTATTACATATAGAACCCATTTGATCAAAAAATGAAAGCCATATGCAAGAGACAATCATGAACCAGTAGTCAGTTGCCAAAAGAAACCTCCCACAATGAAAGCCAAGTTCAAAATTAATCAGAGTGATTCACTAAATATCCATGACAAAATCACAGAGCAGTCATGACGATTCTATAGATATATATGCAAAATAAAATCACATCACAGCAAAACATAAATCAGAACAGGGGCATATGAGCAACAGCCAGATTTTAGGAATCAAAATTATTGAAAATAGGAGAGCAAGCCCAACTGAGAGCAATTAAAATCAAAATCATGAATGAGATAGAAAAGTGAGGGGTACGAACCTTGATGGCAGTCAAACACAAATCACGAAGTGAGTAGGAAGAGCAAAGAAACGAGTAGAAATCAAGGCTCAGGAAACAAAAAAACAGCAACCTAAAAACCTCTGACAAAAATGCAGCACCCAAAATTCAGAACCCAAGTTGAATGAATGAATAGCGGTAGTGATTGAATGGTCAAAGGCATGGATGAAAAGGGTTGACAGCAGAGCACGAATAGCGAACAGAGCTCGGTGATGGGAAGAAAAATGGCTGAAAATGGAGTAGAGGGAGGTGAATGTCGTGGGCTATGATGATCGACAAACAAAGATGGAGTGAAGGAATGCAGAAGAATGAATTGCGAAGGGGGGCTGGGGGTTGATGGTGAGGGAAACAAAGTGGTAGTGAGTACAGCTTCTGTGGTTATCAACGGCACTGAATGATAATGGAGTGAACAAAGCGAATGGCGAGAGTGAAGTGTAAGGAAATGGCCAAGCACTGGCCGACGACCCAAGGTGAAATCTATGGTGGGTGGATAAAAATGAAAGGAGACTCAAGTGTGAGTAGGTGAAAGTGTGTCAGATGGTTACCGGCATGGGTTATCGTGGTCGCAAGTGTGATCACGGTTGAGAAAAGCTTTGGCGGACGACGATGGAGGACTGGAAGAACACTAGGTGGTGATGATCAACGGGATTCGGTTCACAAAGACGAAGGGAGGCTTGGGTGGAGTCAGCGGGGAGTGTTCAATGACAGAAGGTGGAAGCTTGGCAAATAGTCGCCGGCGTGGGTATTATGGTTAGCGGCGGCGAAAAGGATGGTGTAGGAGATTGGGTGGCGATGAACGACGAGATTGGGGAAGAAGACAAAGGAGGCTAGGGTTCGCAAAGTCAGAGAGTGTTAAACGGGGGTCAAAATTTTTTTTTGCAAAGCTTTTAAATTTTTTAAAAAAAATGAGTATTAAAATTAAAATCAAATTAGAAATTTATGTGTGTATATATAATTTTTTTCAAAGTAATACAAAATAAAAAATAAATCAAATAATAATATTAAAATTAAATTCAAATGTGAATTTTTTTTTAAACAAGAAAAATATGTATAAAGTAATTCAAAGTAAATTTTTTTTAAATGGTTTTTTTAAGAAAATATTATATTTATATATATATTAAAATAAAAAAAATGTTATTATTATCATTATTATTTATTTTTTAAAAAAATGCTCCTTTCAACCCACGGTGCCATGGCACTAAGATCATAATGCTGTGGCACCAAAGAGCCTTCCTGATGTCCTAAACTCTAGCGCTATTGTAATAGGTGCCATGACACTCAACGAGAGGTGCATAGCACCAAATATCAATTTGCATAATTTATTAATATCAGCAAATATTTACCTACACCAATTTTATTCCTTCAAAACACCTTGAAACCTCATTTTCACATGCTCAAATACTTACAAACTCACAAAAGAACTAGATATGCATTTCAACACTCATCAAAACCATAAAATATGTGAAAGCATACCCTCTCCTAGAATCAAAATTTTGCATCAACTTTACACAGCAAATCAAATTAGATTTTTTTTTTTTAACATTGCTCATGATCAAATAATTAGCATCATGCAAACATGTAAGAACAATATATTTAAATAGCCAAACACCTAAGACTATCCAAATCATCAAATAAATTATAGAAATCAATGAGTGTCAACAAAATATCAATAATTTTATCAGCAATTTAGCAGTAAAATGATAGTAACCATATGCACTAAGTAGAGATACTCCCTCTTATGCACTCAAACAGCTTTCTTCCATAATGTTGGTCTTATTTGCCAAATAAGTCACACTCTAAGGGATCTAGAAACTACACAACACAACAAAACACATGAAAACTAAAGCAATTAACAAAAACACAAAATTAACTAAAAAAACAAAAACCAAACACTTGGGTTGCCTCACAAAAAATGCTAAAATTATAATCTTCAGACAGACTCTCTCTAAGGACGACAGAGGATTTAAGAGCTTGACTGACACTTTCAGTTGATAAAAGTTACCACCCAAGTACAACTTTAGGTGTTGACCATTAACTTTGAAATCTCCTCCAGAATCTTCTTCCATAATCTCAATTGCTCCATACGATGTAACGAAAACCACCTTAAATAGACCAGACCACCTAGATCTCAACTTCCCTTGAAACAACTTCAACCAAGAATTATATAACAAAACAAGTTGTCTAGGTTCAAAGTGCCTAGGTAAAATATGGCTATCATGTAATCTTTTGGTCTTTTCCTTATAAATCTTAGAGCTTTCTAAGCTTGCAATCTAAACTCATTTAGCTCATTTAATTGCATCAACCTCTTCTTGTAACGCTCCCTCGTATCAACTTGATACAGGAAAAGATTAACAAAATCACCACATCTAAACACACCAATAGATAATTAAAGAATTTATTCAAAAATCTTTGGCCAAAGACTTGTTTGGAAAAACCATTAAAAAACACAATGCATTTGAGTAATACATAGTGGAAGCAATTCATATGCATTCACATCACTCATTATATGCCATCAAAACCATAAAATCAAGTTGAATTATGGGCCATACGCTGCAGCGTGCAGTACATGCGTTGCAGCATATGGCATAAAGCCTCATGCCCAATTATTTATGTCATGCACCGCAGCATATGACACTATGTGCTAGTCTGAAATTTTTGCTGTCATTTTGACAGCAAAATGATGAACTTCCAGCGTGCTTCATTTTCACATACGATGTCTAATCGGAGTGATTCAAGAGCCCACACGAAGCTTATCTCATAAGCTAACTAATGAGATAGGTTTGGACATGATCTAACAGTCCGATCAAAATTTAGGCACCTTGGTGCAAAAAAGTCACTTTTTCTAAAAATATTTATGAACCAAAGCACTCAAATCGATCCGTTTCTCTAATTAGACAATGCAAGGCCTTGAATCAAGTCCAAAGGGACCTAAAAATCTTGATTGGCCATAATCTAACACATATATACACATATACTAAAATTTGACTCTCAACGATCAATTTTCACATTTCACAACTTTACACAATTTTGCTAACACTTGGCATAACTTAACACACTTGGCCCTTTTCTCTATAAATTCACATAAAACCACATCCATACTATATTCACAATTCAATCTTAGCCCCAAATTACTCTTTTTATTATAATTTCACATATAGGCATAAAATTCACCATTATCACTACATTTTCAACACATATACACCTAAGTCTTAGCCCCTGATTTATTTCATCACAAATATACTCAATTAGGCTAAGATTTCACAAAGCCACTACTCAACACATGCATGCAACCCTATAGCAACTTATTTACACATACATATATAAGTTTTCCAATTTATTACACAAACTCTAGAATCACATGGCTTCTCGACTTTAAGCTGGTCCTAATACTTTTCCTTCATCCTACTCACTACTCTACCCTGTAAAAATGTAATCATGAGGTGAGATAAAAATCTTAATAGAGAATAACTCACTCTTATTTACTATCACATGCAATTATATGAAAGTAAAGCATAATATATCATTTAATATAACGTATCACATATCTCTTCTCAAATATCATTCATATCAATTATTTCATCCCTTTTCCACTTATTTCATCACTTTTCTCCTCTTTCATGGCATATAACATCACATAGCATGATCACTACTGAACAAACCTCCAAATTACCCTGACACGAAACTATAGGCTCACCTTAGATTAATGTACACTCTGATTGACCCTAAGCTTACCTTTAGTGGTAGAATCACCCAACCAAAAGTGTTCTATCTCACTTCTCGACTATGTTTTCCCCCAATACACATAATAAGGTGTCACTGACTCTAACACGGTATCACACAGACACTAAGGAATCCCATATCTCTAACACCATACCTCAATAGTGCTAAAGAGATCATCTCCAACACCGCACCTTAAAGGCACTAAGCAGGTATAATTCTCCACTACTTCACCTCTTCAAGTATTAAGGAGAATATACCATATGGTCTTATCTCCACCTCTCTATTCGGGTGAACTCCCACCCCTATGATCATACTTCCCAAACCATTCATAAGTTCCTCATTCACCACTTTACTTATTTTCTCATACATAGCATATATATTTTTTCATACTATAAGAAATCACATATTTCAATACTTTTATTTAGATAAAAGTCATTTCATGCAACATTCAAAAAATGCCATAAATCATGCTTACTGAAAACTCATTCATGCATTACATAACATACTCACACACAATTACAACAAACAGTCAAACAAAGAAAGTTATCCGGGTACCTCAACTCTTCTATCACTAGAAAGGTTACCCATAGATTTCAACTACTATAACAACTTATCACAAGCTTCCTTTCTCAACTCACACGTTCAATATGCCAATCTAAACACATTTGGCACAATTTATTCATTTGGTCCATTCTGACAAAAAACACATTTTTACTACCTATGGCTATATTTAGTCATTTATCCATTTTAAGTCCATTACTACTCAATTACTACTTTACATCACCTTAACTGGTCTCATTTAAGTTAAATCAGATTTTTACTATAAAATCTCTCACTCTTAGAGCCAAATTAAGCCTATAGGTTCAAGTTCTACCATTCAGCTTTAAACTAGTCACAAAGCTCTAATTTAACTCTCGAGAACCTTTTTATTACTATTGGGCAAGAATCAAACCCCTAAAATCTCATTAATTCAATTTCTCTATAACTCATATTCAAAGAAATTGTGGTAAAATGGAAGGTAAGGATTATATGTAGCTTAACCGCTAAGTAACTGATTAGAAGCACCTTTGATGGCTCCAAAATCTCTTTCCCTAACACACCCTTCACTTTTCTCCTTTCCCTTTCATGTGTTTCATATTTCTTCCTCCTGAAATTTCTAAAATTTCACGACTTAAGAAGTCACTTTCTAGTCCATGCACCACAATGCATGGCACAGTGAGAAGAATTCTAATGATGCGTACTTGCTTTAACCCAAAATATGATCCTCTCATCTGTATCTATTCATATAACACCCCAACAAGTCAAACTATCAAGTAATCATCTAAATCTCTAATTTCACACTAATTATCACTTTACCCTCGATTAACAACTAATCACGGGATTAAGAAATTCAGGATGTTACACTTCTCACCCACTTTGCTCATGTCAAAATTCAATTTCTTAATAGCCTAGAATGCTTTGTGCTCTAACTCAATCGGTAAATGACAAGCTTTTCTATATACCAATTGATATGGAGACATACCTATTAGGGACTTGTATGCTATCTTATAGGCCTATAATGCATCATCAAGCTTATCCACCCAATCTTTCATAGTAAGACCCACAGTCTTTTCCAAAATTCTTTTTAACTCTCTATTAGAACTTGACACAACCAATTAGTTTGAGGATGGTATGCCAAAGACATTTTATGAGTGACTCCATATCTTATAAGCAAATTATTGAACCACTTACTTTTAAAATGAGTCCCCTTATCACTAACGATTGCTTTAGGTGTGCCAAAACAGGTAAAAATGAATTTTTCACAAAATGCACAACTATGTTAGCATCATTAGTATGGCATGCTATCACTTTCACCCATTTACTCACATATTTAATAGCTACTAGGATGTACTAATAACCTCTAGATGAAACAAAAAGTTCCATAAAATCTATGCCCCATACATAAAACAACTCAACCTCAAGAATATTTGACTGACGCATTTTATGCCTTTTTGAGATTTTACCTGTTCTTTGACACGTATTACAATAAGAAACAAAGGTATTAGCATCTTTAAATAGATTTGGACAATAATAACCACATTATAACACCTTGCAA